TTGATGAACAAAATAGCTCTGCACAATTTATGTCACACCCTCTGTGTGACCACAGGTGGTCATGACCTACCGTGGATTTAGTATGTGGCTCCTCACAAACAGCTGAAAATAGTATAGTAAAGAAGATGTGAAAAAATTGTAGGGTTTGCTGGCCATTTGTAGCTTTGTCAATTTTTTAAAATTCTTTTTTCATGTTTCTGTGGGTTTAGTTTTGTCTGATATTTATTCTCTGTGCAAAAATCATTGCTATAAGTGCTGGCCTCCTGTAGCTTTTCTGCAATGTTTTCATCCATGCTCTTACAGATAAAGTAATTTCCACACAACACTCCTTTCATAAGTTTACCCACATGTCGTTCTGCTCTGTATGCCAGATAGCTGCTCTGTGGCTCATGGTGGTACTCAAAACTACAAGCTGGAGTGTATATGTAAAAGGCAGTGTGGTTTTATGTTTATGATTACAATGGAACAAATAATGAGACAGTTGTGAAAACTGCTGTTCAGAACTTGGACACCCTGATGCACGTGAATCCTAGGCTCAGGGACTGACCCCTTCATAGCAAAAAGCCACCCTGAAATTCAGGGTGTCTGGATAGCCAGGACAAGGGGATTCAGGCTCAAACAGTGAAAATAGGAGCAGTTTACACCTTTAAACCCGAATTCTGGGCAGAGTACGTGAAGTGAAAACTTTCATTATTCATGAAGGCAAAGTTGGTCAGTCTCTCCCCCAGGCACACTCTGCAAGTGTGCCATCCGCACACCATTCTCCCCGTGACCTCTCACAGATCACTTTCTTTAGTTAATACATCTGTAACGGCAAAGGAAATGATCTTCAGCTATTGCAGAGAGGGGAATGGGGACTGTGAATTGTAATGAGCTTCCTGCCATGTATGGGTTGGCCAGCTTGAGCCATCTGAGGCAAATAGCATCCTTTCTTTTTCCCCACCAAAATGTTAGTGCTCAGACTGCCAGTGCTTGAGTGGAAAAGAAAAAAAGAGAAGGGAGAGGGAGTGTGCCTTTGTTTCCTCCTAATACATCTGTTCTTTCTGCTTGCTTACAATGAGGGGCATGCTCATCTGACAGCACCATCAATATGACCTTTCTCTATGAAAGAAGGAATAGATGCGTCAGAAGGAAATAGAGACTTTTTTCCATTTCAGCATTGCTGCTCTAGATACTAGCAGATATGAACTGAAAAAAAGATATGCCGCTTGGGCAGTTTGCCTGCGAGTGGGCTCACATCACCTTCAGCATTGATTAAAAAGATATGCCTGAGTTAGGTGGAACCATAGTAGCGCCGTAGCTGTGACAGCGGTGAGCACACTAGTTTTTGATGGTGAGAATCAGAGGAGAGCAACAAGGATGATTAGGGGACTGGAATATCTCCCCTATGAGGAAAGGCTGAGAAAGTTGGGCTTGTTCAGCCTGAAGAAGAGAAGACTGAGAGGGGATCTAATCAACATGTACAAATATCTCAAGGGTGGATGTCACGAGGATGGAGCTAGACTCTTCTCAGTGGTGCCCAGCAACAGGACAAGGGGCAATGGACACAAACTGAAACATAAGAGGTTTCAGTTGAATATGAGGAAGAACTTCTTTACTTTGAGGGTGACAGAGCACTGGAACAGGTTGCCCCGGCGGGCTGTGGAGTCTCCTTCTCTGGAGATATTCAAAGCCCGCATGGACGAAGTCCTGTGCAACCTGTTCTGGGTGAACATGCTTTAGGAGGAGGGTTGAACTAGATGATCTCCCAAGGTCCCTTCCAACCCTTGCCATTCTCTGATTCTGTTATTCTGTGAATCCTCTTGCTTCACCTATAGCTTTCTGTTATCAGGCTAACTAAGGAAGTCAGATGTACAAATCAGGTTTTGGTTCTGTTTTCTTTGCTTGTTCTTTTTATGCAGAAATCCATGCAGGGAACAACAACAGAAGATACATTTAGCAGTTTGATATTCTTTCCTTCAGAATATCTGGGGATTTTTTCCAGTGTTCATTTGATGGCATTAAAAATGAATGGGATGACTAAATGGTTTACAATTTTACATATTCAGTTAACGTGAAAGCAATTACTAATGTGTACAATTATCTCCAGAATTACTTGGATCATGCAAATGGCATTCAAACCAACCATTTTGAACTGTTTTCCAGGGGATGTGTCATTACATAATTCATAGTAAGAATAGTACCCTACAATCTGAGCTCAACATTATTGCCCTTTCAAAATTTACTTCTCAGATTAACCTCCTGGAGAGAGATAACTTTCTATTTTAAACAGGTTTTAGAGTGCTTCCGGACCTCAGTAAGGGGGGACTGGGTATTGAATACAGCTTATCTCCATCGCTCTAATGTGAGTCTCAGATGTAACATTGGGATCAATGCTCAATCCATTATACCCTGAATTAAGAGGACCATACTGAGACCAGTGGCTGGTTTGACCTCACATGACTGAGCCCTAGTCAGTGAGAAAAGCTACAGAGAAAATGATCAAGCATAAAGAAAAAGAAAAAGGATCTTAAATTAAAATACAGGAAAGATAGATCAGCGGTGAAGGCTGAGAGGCAGAGAGGAGTGTGGTTCACGGGTAGGGTTAAGACTGTTGGGTAGAAGAAGGAATGGGGATGAGGTACCATCTGGATGGTACAGCAAGCACTAGAATGAAGTTCTACCTGAAGCCTCGGTAGAAAAACTGTTGCAGTTTTTAATAACCGTGAGAAGAAGTTGAAGCATAAGCTGCGCTTCACTTTCCATGATTTCCCTCATTGCAATTAAAATAGAGATGGTTTGGCTGTGGCTTCAAGGAAGAAGCACCACAGATGCAAATTTCAGCTTCATCCAATTTTCTGGCAATGAGGGGGGACAGGGGTCTCACCAACAAGGGATGTGTGGTGGGCTGACCCCAGCTAGCAGCTGAGCACCCATACAACTGCTCTCTCAGTCCCTCCACTCCCAGCAGGATGGGGCACAGAATAGGAAGAACAAAAGCAAAATTCACAAGTCGAGACTCAGACAGTTTAATAGGTGAAGGAAAGAGAAAAAGAGAAAACAAAAAGCAGGAAATCACTTCTCATCGCCCACAAGTAGATTTATGCCCAGCCACTCTGTGAAAGAAGTCACTCCCCTCTTACTCTACATCAGTTTTCATGGCTGAGCACAACATTATATTATATGGAATACCCCTTTGGTGATTTGAAAAGCTGCTGGTTTGGGAGCTATTCACCCATTTTGGAATCTATCCCTTTGCATTTCATCTCTGTTGTACTGTATTGTACCTCCAGCTGCTGTCTTTGAAAATCATGGGCTGAGCAGACTGTATTGTATGAACAGGAGTGGACCTGATAAAACTACAGGAAGCCATATGAACAGGATTTTTGGAAGGCTTCAGGACTTGCTGGTTGGTCCTCTGGACACCTCTCACTTTTTAAAAAAGACTGAAAGGATCCTGGAACCATCAGGAGTTTTCAACAAAGTTTTTTTTACAGAAATGTAAAGGCTAAGACATTTATTTCTTTCAAAGCAATGCATCAATCTGAGGCATCACTAGCATTACTTTATAAGTGTAACTTTTTAACCCTCCCAAATCAACTTTTGACCTGTTTGAATCCAGGGATCATAACACTTCTGTAGCAAAGATTGCCAGACTAAAAATTATGGCAACTTATGGAGCTATGAAGGAGGAAGTGTAGCCTCATGTGACTCCTGGGAGTCTAGGGTGGGAGAAATCTGGCCTCAAGATGTTAGGATGCAGCAAATGACAGTGGGGTCTTTGGCAGAAGGGTTAGAGACCTTCTACGCTGAACAGAACAGGCAGAATGCAATCATGAAAAAAACCTTTTACATAATGAAGATAAAACAGAGATTCCCGTAACAGATGTGGTTCCCAAAGAATATAATCCATCTAATGGAGAAAATATGTACTCCAGCACAAGTTTGTATACACATACATGAGCATATGTTGAACTGATTAAACACAGTTTAGTTAGTTTATTCTAGTTTTGCTTTGTTACATGTGCAAATGGAAAAAATATGGCATCTGATAATAAATCAACAGGCAACTGAAAGTGACCAGACATCAAAGGTTTTTTGAAGGCTGATAAAATATTTCCCCCTCCCAGAGAGCAGCTGATCCTTCAGTAAAGGACCAGAGCCCCTGATTCAAATTCCAGATCCAGTTATGGGACCACAGTAACTTATATTTCTTTGGCTACAATGGACCTAAGGGATAACAGCCACAGACCCTGTCCTGATAGGAGAGTGACATAAGGCAGAAGTTTTGAAACCTGTGGCCTGTTCTGCTCTAACTCACTCTAGATGTGTAATTACCAGAGTTCAGTAAGCTGCTTGTGGTTTTGGAACAAAGCAAATAAAGGTGAAGCTGTGAGAATGGTGGTTTCATATAATTTAATTTAATATATGCTTTGTATAAGTGAAGAAAAGAAGGATTCTGCTGAAATATGCTACTACAATATTTCATTCATACCCTGTTTCATGCCTTGAATACTTTTTATTTGAATACAGTTTATGTCCTTGCTATCTAAAATCACTACTACAAAAATCCTGTAAAGGAATTTCTTTCTTCCCTCTCTTCCCATAAGTATCACAGTTGCCAGAAGAAGTTGCTAGGCCTTCAGAGTGGACAACTTATTTATCGGCCACAGCAGGTTGTTGTTACTGAGACACTTTGAAGAAAAAACAGAATAGATGCTTGTGCTGTAGTTGTTACAGAGGGACAGCTGAGGAAAATCTTAATGAAGCTTCAGGGCACAACTCTTAGGTCAAAGACTGGAGTAAGACTCATGTGTCTGCCTTCAAGAGAGAAGATTAAAAACAGTAGCTTCTGAAAGATGGGTCTCACTGGTCTGCGAAAGCCAAACGACGCTACAGACCTACACAGCCATGCTGAAAACTCGGCAGTCGCCCTAGCTCAGCGAAGTCCCGACACAGTTTTATTTCTGCCAAAAGCCAGTACTGCCACACTGCAGCTGGATGTCCTGGTAGTTCACAGTTCAGTGAGCTATTCCTGCTATGAAGCACAACATATCCAAGCAGCACATTGCTGTTAAAGCTAAAAAAATTTCATTGTATGGGAATAGTTTATGGTCTTTATCCAGGTGGTAGTTTTGGATGTAATATACTCTGAATACATGATGAGGCATAAAGCACACTAATGTTACCAAGATGAAGAAGAAACTCTTTGCCTGAGCCCTGAATTCCACATGGGAGTTGAGGTCGGGCCAATATTTCACAGCCAGCCTATAGATCACAGACAACTGGATTACCGTGAGAACAGCACAAACTGCCACCAGAATCCCAACCATGCAGTAGTTTGCGATCACCATGGGCACCTCTTGTATCTCCTTATGGAACTGAAAGCATTTGGAGGAGTTGTATGTCTTAGAGGTGCCGTAGTACGAGAGAAGAACGGGTGTGATGACCAGCGCTCCCACCAGCCAGACAGCAGCCACCCAGGTGGTAGTGTAGCACTTCCTAAACTCGAGTCGGAAGAGGCGTATTATGATGATAGCCGTGTAAAACGGGAAGGTGGCGTACATGTGGAGGTAGATGATGGCGCTTGCTAGCTTGCAGGCGAAACTCCCAAATTTCCATTCCCGTAAAATGTAATAGCTGAGGCGGAAGGGGATGCTGAGTAGCATAAAGGTATGCAGCACCAGGAGGCTGCTGATGATAATGGTCATCACAGACTGCGATCTCCTTTGAAACAACTGATGGGACATCATGATGACCCCGAGGGTGCCGCCAGCCAGGTTGATGATGTATAGGGCTATGAGAATGCTGCGGAGCTTCTCTGAGGTGTCCGGCAGCGTCTCGTTCAAGGAATGGTTCTGCTGGGTTACTCTGCTGCTATGCATCCTCATAAGCTTCTCTTTTGAAGGTTACTGAAAGTGAAAAATGGGAATTTTTAAAATAGATGCACTTTCATTATTGCTTCCTTTATTGTTAACTATGGAATGTCACAGATTCATGAAGGGACATTTTACCGAATTGTGTTTGAAATGGTGTTATCCCATGTAGCATACATCCTTATAACTGTTGTCATACTGTATATGACAGCAATAACCCACACCTTTCAGTGTTAAAACCCCTTTTTGTATAGTTATGAATTAGTTTTTAATTTACTAAACAGCATTCTAGGACTTTTTTTGTTCAGTTATTTGCCTCTAGATTCAGCCATTTGAAATAGCCAATACACTGTTTGTAAATTATACAAGTTTAATCAGCACTCATGTTATAAAGCTAAAACTGAAGGTGGGAAAAATACTGAAATGTGAAGAGGTTGTACCTATAATTTGTGGATACTTTATGAAGACACCTGAGCCATCTTTTTAGCATCTTGCTGGTTGGGTGCAGGACACCCATAAGGCAGCAGCTTCAGTTCTAGATGCATAGAGCACATTGAAAATAAAGATCTGCAGATCAAAATTCAGTTTCTTCTCGCTTCAGCTCCAAATCTTTTTGCTACAAAGTTTCACCTGAGCTACTCTATGAAAAGTGAAGAATAGCTAAAAATTAATTTAGGAACAATCTTCTGAAAGATATAATCCTCTTGGCACTTGTTGAATGTAGCCACATACAGCTGCATTCTTATAGGACTTAAGGCAAAATGTGGACTGTTCAGTGATTTGGGTGTGCATACAGATTTCTGCACAATGTATGGGGATAGCATGCAGGGTACATACATACTTTGCTAATAAAATCCGTCCTTACCTTTCAAAGAGTTTCAAAAGAACAAAGTAAGAGCTGAAAAATGGTCTCTTAAAAAGGCAGTATCTTCTCTCTGATTCCTTTGAAGTTTGAAACTGGTAAACTTTATTTGGCAATTCTTAATTCTGTTGCATTTATCTGTCAAATGATAGACTGCAACTGCAAAACATTTTCAGAGAAACTTCTTATTTATGAAGCATCAGGCAAAGCATCTTTAGAAGGCCCATTGGAGTCTTTTTTCCAAGGCTGATATAAACCTTTCTGTTCACCCCCTTTTAAAATGCACGATCTTAAAAGCATTTAAATGATTAAAATTGTATACCTACCTAATATTTCTGAGACCGGCATGAGAAATCTGCTATCCTAGAAACTTTGCTATAAGAAAAGTTTTACAAGCTTTAAGAAGATGACTTTCTGCTCTTGACACAGATTAATTTTCCAATGTATACTGTTAATATTTCAAACTGGCTTTAAGAAGGTTCAATCTTTTTGGTGCTATAAACAGCATAATTACAGCCTACATGCCAGCATCTTATATTACTCAGAAATAGGTGATTATTTTCAATATTTATAGAAATAGAATGCTTACATTTTACCTTATAATCTCTTTTTTTTTGTGAATTCCCCCTTCTTCTTTGCCATTTCATATAGCATATGGCACATATAACCTATGTGAAAAAAAGAGCCTTTGGTGTTACTGAGAACAGTTGAGGGTTTCCTCAGCCCACATACAGGAAGGCACAAGCATTTTTTCTTGCTTTGCTGTGATAGCAATCAACCACATATGTTCAACATCTAATACTATTTTGTTCATGCAGAGAGAACTGCTGAAAAGTTGCTGTGCTGTCAGAGACCATGGTTGTGTTCGGACATGTAGGACAGACCCACCCATCAGGATTATTTCTGCCCACAGTTTGGTCACTCTTAAAGCCCAGAGGGGCAGTGATTCCCTGAGCGCTACAACTACTACAAGTTACTGGGGTTTGCTACTAAGCAAGTAAGAAGCGCCACTTATCAAGTGAAGAAATATGCAGTTTAGCAGAGGATTTTTCATTATAAATGCATGTTGTGGTTTAGCCCCAGCTGACAGCTAAGCATCACACAGCCGCTCACTCTTCTCCCCCTGCCTGGTGGGATGGGGAAGAGAACTGGAAGATCAAAAGTAAGAAAACTCATGGGTTGAGATGAGAAGTTTCATAAGTAAAGCAAAAGACGCGCATGCAGGCAAAGCAAAACAAGGAATTCATTCACTGCTTCCCACCAGCAGGCAGGTGCTCTGCCATCCCCAGGAAAGCAGGGCTCCATCACGCATAACGATGAGTTGGGAAGACAAATGTCATCATTCTGAATGTCCCCTCCTTCCTTCTTCTTCCCCCAGCTTTATATGCTGAGCATGCTGTCATTTGTTATGGAACAGCCCTTTGGCCAGTGGGGGTCAGCTGTCCTGGCTGTGCCCCCTCCCAGCTTCTGGTGTTCCTGGCAGAGCAGGGGAAGCGGAAAACGTCCTTCCCTAGTGCAAGCCCTGCTTAGCAACAACTAAAACATCAGTGTGTTATCAACATTCTTCTCATGCAAAATCCAAACCGCAGCACTATGCCAGCTACTAGGAAGAAAATTAACTCTACCCCAGCCAAAAGCAGGACAGTGCACTTTTCCCCTGAACTTGTTTTATGTTTAATAACTAAGCTAAAAGTGCCGGAATACCAAAGTTTTTAGCAGAGTTAACAAAAGATCTCACTCTAACACGCTATTAGATCGTCAAGAATTCAGAGAAGATTACTCATTGTTTAAATATTATAAGTAAAATAAGCTTCAGACATATGTGAAAAGTGACTTAAGAGTTCCTGCTGTTAAAAAAAGGAGATGCAGAGGCCAATGGTGCCTGAAGATTATGCCTGACCTGCAGGCATGAGTGCTAATGCCAAACCACATCATTAGTGTAAGGTAGCTCACTAAAAAGAGGAAAGCTTTGAGTCAGGACTCTTGTAGAAACATTAAAAAGCAGCTTCTTGACTAGAAATTAAACAGAAAAATGTTAGCCCAGTTTATTTTTCAGCAGTCAGACTCATCAGTGCTCAAACACAGAAGGACAACACACAAGGTTTTGTGAGCAATAGCATAAAAATATTCCAGCAGGGCTGAACTAGCATTGCTCCTGCCATCACGCAGTTATCCTCTGCTGTGGCTGTGAGGATGGTTTCCTCTGAGGAGCTTCTCTCCTGTTATTAAGTCCAGTCATTAGGGAGAACAAGATCTGAAAGACAACTATTAGATGTAAATAAATACAAAGACTCAAAAAACCAAGGGTGTTGAAAGTCAGGGAGAGAAACAGAAAGAGTTGTGAGGGAGAACAAGAATGAGGAGACAGAAGTCTGCGAGACATTCTCAGGATAAAATCTGAAAGTTTCGAGGGAGCGGTTACCATCTCATCTAGACCAGGATGCAGAACAGGAGGGACGTCCATTTCGGAGACTGCATATACTCGTGGGCTTGGGCAAAGAGAAATGTGCAATTGCTCCAGCAGACAGAGCACAGAAGGAAAACAGCTACGTGAATAATGGTACTTACCAGGTTCCAGCATCACTTAATCCCACATAAGGACAGGCTGCTGCCTGACATGGTAGCAATGGTGTTTGGATGGCAAAATGATCAGCTGGTTCTGCAGAAACGCACAGGAAGGTAGACAACAGCCTGTGTGTCAGGCACTGATGGTTTTGATGGGTTAGAGGGATTATGAAACTGCATCCACAGCCTCTGGGTGAAGCAGGGAAATGCCTGTAGCCTTGTGTTCTGTCCACGGGACCTGAAGTGATCCACAAAGTTTGAATCACCAAGTAGCGATGCAGAAGAGACATGAAGAAATTGCATTCCTGGAATGGCTGCTATGTGACAACTGGCACTGCAAACGGAGCTGAATCAGTCTATGAGACCAAGAGCTTTGTGCACTCTGTTACCTTGTTGAGTCCAGTCTGAGCTCTTTAGATGTAAAGTGATGCCAAAAATCCTGAAAAGGTGTTGCAAAGCTAATTCTCTTGTCACTTTGGGGAGAGCGCCATTGGCTGTCACCAAAACTGCTAGGGGTCAGACACTGAACTTCTCAATCCATGTTTCACACCCCTGAGCCGCTTTGTACTCAAAACGTTCCTTGAAGGTTGTATGTTGAAGCTGTTCAGTGTGTTAACCATTCTTCTTCACGTTCTTCTGTTAAAAAAAAAAAAAGATCACTCAGCTCTGTAATCTAGGTCTTAAGATTTAGGTTAGTTTCTCATTTGAGTACAAAAGGAAATTGAGTCACATCAGCCTATTCAAATGAACTTTCAGATCTTGCTTTTGCTTCTTACTTCATCAGCACATAGTTTGCCTTGACCAGTGGTGAAAATAAACGTTGAAAGAGAAATGCATATATACACATCAGAGATCCAGGTCAAGACTAGCATCGCAAATAGTCTTTTAAGGAAGGAAAGACCTGGCTGGGCATGTCTGGTTGAACACCTGGGGGAAGCAGAAGAGAAGGAAGAAAGGTGAAGGTTTAAATTATTAAGAAGAGAAACTGAAACAGAAGAAGAAGCGATAGTTGAGAGAAGATGAACAAAACCTGTTGGATGTTCAGAGACAGGATGAGCCTCTGTGGAATTGACACTGATTGTGCCTATGCACGGGTGTAGCAGAGTTACTTTAAGCAGGGGCTAGATCTGCAGTAGAACTTTAAGTTCTTGTTTTAATTTCATTTCTGCACAATTTCCTCTGCTTTCTGTGTCAATTTGTAAGAAAATGATATGCTTACTGGTCAGTGTAATAGCAACCAAGATTTCACATGCGAACTCGAGAGCTCATTTCTGTCTAGGAATACCCATAAAACAGCGCTACCTTGTGTTACTGGATAGGTTTTCAATTTTAGCTACTTCCAACCTAGGATCATAATTGATGATAATTTCAATTATTTATTAATCTATTGCTAGTTATTTATAAGAACTGAACTACCTATAGGTCAGAGTCATGAACAGCAGTAAGATAGGGAGTACCTGTGTTATGTTTTAACGTACTGTTTCTTCTGTGATTGCAGATGCAACCACACTTCTCGCTGTCTCACTCCCATTATGTTAGACATGAGCCACAGGCACTGGGAAGTGAGAAAATCATACTCCATGGTTAGCGAACTTGCAGGATAATCCCTTTAATTTGCCAATCCTACCCACCCATGCAGCATGAAGAATTTAATGACTTCAGCCAGTAAATGGTCAACAAGGTTAGCAGGAGATTTGAGATTCTTGGACTATCTACTTGGTTGCAGATTTGCTGAGAGGTTTCTCAGGCTATGTTTGTCAGGATGGAAGAGGCTATCTGGCTTCCCTGTTTATTAGAAATAATAATGTTTAGTTGCCTCAGTCTTACCTATACAATAGGCCTCAAAAGTAGACTGTTAAAAAAAATAGAGAATTGAAACTATCGAATTATAGACTTCAAAGAATGAATAGCTATTATATAAAGATCATAGAAAAAGGATTAACGATAAGGTGCTCACTGCTGTGTAACCACAGGTGTGCAAACAAGTCAAGGCTATGCTGTACTGCTCATTTGTCCATTGTATACCCCCTCCATGGTTGGGTTCTAAGATCCTTCGAGACGGACCAATGGATTCTAAGATCAAGAAGCAGAACTGAGACAGAACATGTTGACAGATGGAAATTAATGGACTTTTAGAAGAATGAAGAATTGAGAACATAGTGGAAACTTAGAGTGAACTTTATCTATTATATAATTGTGTTGGAAGCATATATAAGATTATAATTGTAATACCTACTTGCCACTCACTGAGGTGATGGCTCAGCTCTGAGTTGTTAAGAAAAGCAAACCTAGAGATACCCACAGTCTGGTGAAATTCTTCAACATAGACCTTATGCTTTATATAAGTAGAAGTAATATATCATGGCTTTCTGTGGAGGAATTTGGCAAAGTATATCACAGGCGGGCTATGACTTGCCTTTTGAAACAAAACAGATATTTCCTGGGTTTGGTGCAAGGAGATGAGATTTATTATTATGAGTTCAGGAACTTGTCAGTATTC